TAGAATATTGTGATGGTTGTTGCAGTGATTGTAAGAAAGCAACATTATCATGATTTCTTGAATTTGACTGAGAAGTTATGCCTGAGAATTTACTTGTAACAATCTTAAGCTCCACTTGCTTGCTAGATATTTCATTTTGATAATTATCTATAGGTACTGTAGATGTTGTATGTAACACGATAGACTCATCACATACATCTCTGCCAATGATCATTTTCTTGATTTCTCAACATCATAACGTATAACATTTAACTTCAGTTTTATAACTAAGAAATACACACTTTATAGATCTAGCTATAAGTTACAATTGATAATATGACAAACAACAAAAAATTCTTAAACTAAAGCAATCTGCAGGTTTACCTAACCAAATCTCCTGTAAAGTTTTCTTATAAAAAGCAAGGAAAGGAGAGTGATTGACCAAGTAATAAGTTGTAGAAGCTACTTCATTCCAAAATAGCTTAAGTAGCTTGGCATTGGAGAGTATGAAACGAACTTTCTCCATCATAGTCTTGTTCATTCGCTGTGCCACACCATTTTGTTGAGGTATGTATTGGAATGTGAAGCCTCTCATAATTCCTTCTGATTTCCAGAAGGCATTAAATTATCCTGAACAGAACTCCAATTCATTATCAATGCAAAGACGTTTGATCTTCTTTCCAATTAATTTCTCAATCATGATCTTTCATTCCTTAAATGTAGTAAAAACATCACTCTTCCGGTTCAAGATACAATTTTTTCTGAAGAAATTATCAATAAATGTCAATATATATCTGACACCTCCTTTAGATGGTACTGTAGATGATCTCCAGAAATCAAAAAATATGTGTATATTATTTCATTAATATTGTGAATACCAGTATTGAAATTAACCCTTCTTTTTTTTTCCAAAGACATAGTGTTCACAAAACTTCAATTTAGCAATGCTTTGACCATTTTGGAGTCCCCTTCTACTTAGTTTAATCATCCTTTTATCACTCATATGCCCAAGTCGCATATGCCGAAGTTTGGTTGTTTCACCTTCTGACATGAAAAAGTAGTAACTACTGCATCACCTACCACAATAGAGCCTTACAAGACATATAATCCAATATCCCTCTTCTATTTCGTCATCATAATAAGAGAACCCTTGCCAACCTTCAAATCTCCACCTTCACCAAAATACTTGTACTTTTAGCATCAAGAGTACTTAAGAAAATTAGATTCTTTTTAGATATGAAACTTGTTTCATATCTCCAAGTGTTTTGATGACTTCATCAAACATCCTGATTCTAACAGTTCTGACACAGATTATCTTACAAGGAGCGACATTGATTCATATGTTGAAAACCAATTTTTATTGAAACACATATGAAACTTGCAGGTTGAATCAACAACCCAAACATCACAAGGTTCTGAATCAGATACAACTAGAGTTCACCATCATTAATAGCTTCTTAAACAACATCAACTCCATCATAATGATTTGATTGTTTGCCTTTCTGATGTACAGTTATTTTTTTTTATTTTCATTCTGCAATTTGTAACGTTTAGATTTTTGTTGTGCCTCTTTTTACTAAAAGTAATTACAGATGTTATTATTATTCCTAGATTTTGATTAACTAATTGTATCAGCACCAGAACTCCTCTCTTGAGTTCTGCCACGAACGACAAGGCCTTATCCTTGAGCAACGGGTTCATAGACAAGGTTTTCCAGCTTCTCCTAACAAAATAGAGCATCATATATTTTGTCCAGAGTAATTGTCTCTCTCATATACAAGACGATATCTCTAAACATTGTATATAATGAAAGTAATGAGCACAACAAGATTAATGTCAAATCTTCTTCATCATACTTAACTTTCATGGCTTCTAAATAGAGATGATTTCCTTAAAGATAATTAAGTGATCTATAACAGATGCACATTCTACCATTCTAAGAAAGTGCAAACGTTGTTTTAAGTGCAACTTATTGGTCAGACTTTTTGTCATGCATAATTGCTCTAATTTGAGCCACAACTTCGGAGCAGTCTTCTTCCTCAAAACATCCTGTAGAATTTGTGATAGATGAAGGCGAATTTAGAGAAAAAACACTTAAATCTTTACATTGCTTCTCCTCCAGCGTCCATGATGAATGCATCTTCTCAAACACAACTAGTGCATCTTCTAGATCATTCTACATAAAGATAGCTCGCATCTTAGTTCGTCAAAGGGAAAATTTGATGCTGCGATCTAAAAGAGAGATGTCGTACTTTACTATTGTCATCGTCGAAATCAAAACTGGTTTCTAATATTGCTTATTATAATTTAATATTAATCGATGCAACAAATAAAAAAAATTAAAGAAAGAAAGAAAACACAGATTTTATGTGAAAAACCTAAATAAGAAAAATCACAGGCAGAAGACGAGAGTTCTCTGTATATCAAATAAAAAATTACAAGTGGGGAGTGCTTTGCACAAGATAGAAGGGGTTGTTGGCATTAATTTTTTATGTCGCGAGTGAATTTATTCCGCTCGAGCATTATGTAACATTTTTTGATGCACGTGTTGATTCACGTAGTGCAAGACATCAATTTGAGACCTTCTAACGTGCATTGAAGAGGCAAGCGGCTGGGGTCATCCTGCTAGACTTTAAGCCATGTAGCTCATTTGACTTCGTTAATATCATCTTGACGCCCCGATTACCGATGAGTTGTCGTCCGTTTGAGATGCGATGATTCATCCTCTGCCCTTATGGCCTGATGAGCTATGGAGTATAAGGATATCCGCATCGAGATGATTATGGTTATTTTGTAGGTTCTGATGCCGACGAGCTGATACCTATTTGGGATGTGAGAGGCTTAATATTTGTCACGTGGCTTAGCGGGAGCTTTTAAGCATCAGGATATTCCCATACAAAATAACCTCTTTGATGAGTTATTCTTCAAGTTCATGATAATATAAGCGAAACTTATTTTATCGAGAGTATTCATGGGTATTCCCCACAATTTGATTAACCAGAGTGATGCATTCCTCTAGGAGACTCTTGATCCCAAAACAAAAAATATTCTTTTTTGTTCTATGATTATGGGTGACTTATGTTGGGATTCTCTTCATAGATTTGAACATATACTCTCGACCCAGCACATTAGGATTATTCATATATGTCTTTCGTTTATTTTTTTTTTTATTTGTATATTTGTTATCGTATATCCTTTTTTTCGATTCCTCTCCTCTTTGAATCATTGATATGATTCAGAAGAAAGATTTATTCGAATAAGGGATTATACAACGACATATAAATAGACAAGTTTGCGACTACAAATCTTTAAAAAGAACCGAGAAAACAATGCAATAATTTGTGTTACTCGTTGAGTTATCCTTACAAGCAATGTTTATTATAGCATCGTGACCAACAGCTGGTCAATCATCTAATGAGTATGATTTCCCATCAAGGAAAACTCGGGTAATGCACATGCAAAAATACAAAGAGATATAGCGTGTCATGATCACTCTATCGACGTGTGAGCAATCACAAAAGTATGCTTAAAAGAAGACTCGATGTAATTGCTCTATTGAGGTGCGAGCAAACACAATGGATGTTAAATGATAGTTTAAATTATCAACATGTTGAGCAGGTACTCTTTATGAGCACATGGTAACATATGCTCATGATGAATACAATAGGCATGTAGGTGTAAAATTCAGAGATGTTACACTCACAAGACACATGCAGACTGGGTGCACCAGATACAAGATACCCTAGGAGAGATTACACCTTGCCCGAGAAGACTCATATGCTCATGCAAATGACAGACAAATGCTATCAAAGAGATCGCATCGGGTATAAAACAACTCTTAGAGGAATTGCACCTCGCCCGAAAGGCACCCAAACAAGTTCATGCAAATGGCAAATATAATCAATGCATGAGATATCCAAATGCAAGGCAAGCACACAACAAATGCTAATTGATGCCAAACGTACTAGATGATGATTTGTGCTAAGTGTGAATCACAAACTTAGATGGATGTACATCGCATACTTCACGAGTTCAAGGGCTATATAGAATAACACATACTAGGTGCCGCAATGTAAGATACCTACGACATTACTACACGTTGTCGCATGGAGTGAGGGAGCATAATTCCCGTTAAGGAGAATTTCACAATGGGTGGCTTAATATGATAGCCAATCCTAATATGAATTATGCAAACATCTAATCACGTGCATACGATGATGTATACATGGGGATGCTGAAAGCGCAGGTGCTCAAAGAGACACCGCAAGTGGAGTTGTTTAAAGAGACCAAATATGTCAAATGCTAGAAAGCACAAAAAAGCATGACGAATGCACGATCAATGACAAACATAATTTTGCATACAAAGACATCAAACCAAAATGATTTTTCATGCATATGGAAAAATGAGCATCAAGCCAAATAAATTTTCTCATGCAAACATATAAGCATTAAGACCTACACATTTTGATGCATTTTACAAATTAATGCAATACCAATGATCGTTACATGCCCAATGACAAAAACACATGTAAATGAAAATGAACACATGCAAAATGAGACCCAATCGTGCTCAACAGCAAATAAAACTCGTCTTAACGACCTCACATAGGTTCTAAGCTCGAGAGATGGAGAGGTTTGCTAATGACTTATTACGCGACGTGACAATACGCCCACCTCCATTTGCATGGCCGAGCATGAAAAATTTCTCACAAACAAAAATTTTCAAAATCTAGAGAGTAGAGATCAAAGAGTTTCCTCCTGTTTCGAAATTTCTTGGCTTCACTTTTCCATCCAAGTGAACGAGCCACGACAAAACACGAGATTAGTACAATGTCATCTTTGTAATATGTTAGAGATTTAGGGATTTTGGATATAATGCTCAAAGATAGTAGGGGGGTCTCAAAAGAAAACTTTCTAACCTAGTGGCCTCCCTCTAACATCACCCAAGGTCATATAACTCTAACACAGACCCGAAGTGGCTCGCTAGAAAAGAAGAAAAATCAAGTTTAGAGGACTTTCACCTTCGTAATGGTTGACGGAGAGTGCTTCGATGCTTCCTGCAAGCCGGGAATCCTGTGTCTTTTTGTCAATGGCCCGAGCTCCGGCGAGGGTTTCAGCAAAGAGGAGGAAGCGGGACGGCGAGCTTCGGCAGTGAGGGCTCGCTGGCGGGTGATGTCACCGGCGAGGTTTCCAGGCCGACAGGGTAGACCTTGAGAGAGAAAGAAGACGGGCGTCTGGCGAGGTAAAATGCCAGGGCCGACGCACCGCCCGTGGCCTTCGACCGAGGGGAAGAGAAGCCAGGCGAGGACCTCCGGCGAGAGGGAAGAAGGTGACCGTGCCGTTTGCCAGCGGGTGAGGTTTCAGAGTGAAGGGGAACCCCGTGCGTGAGTTTCGGGTGAGAGTAAAAGGGGACGCGGCCAGCAGGGAGGAGAGTATGTCGCCGGCGGGAGGCTCACCAGCGGCGATGGAGATAGAATTCGGCGAGAGCTTCGGCCAAAAGGGTAAGGGCTTTCGGCGAGAGGAGGAAGCAAGTCGGCGTGGAAAAGGGAGAACGGTGGCCGGCGATTGGGCGCGTGCAAGAGGGAGGACACCAGCTGGGGCTTCGCCGGCGGGGACGCGAGCGGGAGAGGGATTCCGGCCAAGAAGGCTAGGGCTGGATAAAAGCTATAAAATATGGCTTAATAATTTTAAAGGTTTTTATTCAATTATCTCGATTTCTTAATCATTTGTCCATGGAAGAAAACACAGTGTTCTCTTTAGGTGAATTCAATATCCAAAAAATGCTCTCGCAGTCTGTTTTGTAATGAATTTATCGATGCGACTATTTTTTGTTGATATTTTGAGTCAAGAGAGCATATATATTATAAAATAGGGTCTCATGACACCAAAAATATGTGTCATACGGGAAAGATATAATGCCAACATTATGCATGATCCATCCTAAACTGCATAAATTTTCAGGCCATGATCTTGGCTTTATTAAGATATCTAATTATCACTTGATCTCTAGCCTTTGAATTCTCTATTTATTTGGTTACTACCAACAACAACTCTAACTTCACAACTAGACAACAGACACCCATTTCATAGGCAAGACGCAATTTGACAATCAAGGCTTCATATTCTACTTGATTGTTTGTTACTTTGAACTCCACAACTATCGAGTGATGTAAGGGTTCTCTAGATGGGCTAATCAAAACCGAACCCAATCCTACTCCATATTGATTTAAGGCATTGTCCACATATATGAGCCATTCTTATTGATTGGTAGGATCTTCTGTGCCCGATCTCTCTTATTTTGAGAAATCTACTAGAAAATTAGTGACTGACTGTGCCTTGATAGTCGTTCAGGGGACATATGTGATGTTGAATCTGCTCAGCTCTACCACCTACTTGAGTAATCAGCAGACTTCAGCAGATGATCTGAAATCACCCGGGACGAGACATGTTTGAATGTAGGGTCGTAACCTGTGAGCTGACACAATCAAAGCAAAGTTTAATCTTTCCACAATAAGGTACCTAACTTTCGTTCCTCAGAGGACGCGACTAGTGTAGTAGATCGAGAATCACTTTCTTGATTCTTTCTTGGCCAACATTGAGTTGATTGTTTCAGCGCCCACCCCTAAATACAATGAGAGTTTTTTGTTTGGCTTCAGGCTTTGGAGAATCAGCGGTGATGCTGAGTCCTTCAGGTTCTAGAAGGCCTGCGGACACTAAAATGTCAACTCAAAGCTTTCAGCTTTTTTGAGTGTTTTGAAGAATGTTGCACACTTATAACCCAACCTCGAAATGAATGGCTAAGTACAACAATTTGGCCAGCCAGCTTCTACACCTCTCGGGTATTTCTAAGGGATGACATATCAATTAGCGCTTGGATTTTGTATGAGTTGGCTTTTATGTCTTCAATAGTCAAAAGGTAATCCAGGAACTTGCCAGTTGAGGCTCCGAATGTACATTTTAGAGGGGTTAGCTTCATATTAATGTTTATAAGAGTTTGGATTGTATCTTTTAAATCTTTTAAATGTTGTTAAGTCGTCTAGTCTTTTACCACGACATCATCCACGTAGGCGTTAACATTTTTTTTCTTTTTGATTGGCAAAAATTACCTCTATCAAGCGTTGATACGTTGTCCCAGCATTTTTATGCCCAAATGCATTACATTATAACAGAAAACATATTCGACAGTTATGAAAGTAGTCTTCTCAACCTCGATCTGGTGCATATTTATTTGGTGAAACCCTGAGAAGGTTTCTAGAAAGCTCATCATGGGGCGGCACATAGTTGAATCCACTAGGATGTCGATCCTCGACAGTAGCTAGTAGTCTTTCGAGCAGGCGGCATTCAGGTTCAGGAAGTCTGCTCACATTCCCCATTCTCTGTTGGCCTTCTGAACCATGATGACTTTCGAAACCTATGTGGGGTACTGTACATTCTTGGTGTATCCCGTTTTTTTTTTATCTTTAATACCTCTTCTTTGATGACAACAAGCAGTGTTACCATTTGATTTTTTGATCTTCTCTTTTATTAGGCGAACGATGATACTCACATTCAAGCAGTGACAAGCGACGTCGATTGATATTCTCGACATCTCTACACCGGACCAAGTCAAGACATCACAATATTCCGAAGTGTCTAAACTAGTAGTCTGTCCCTTAACTAAAATTTTTACTTATTAAAAAATTATTTATCAAGCTCTCGATTGGCGACAAAAATTTCTAGGGTGTTCTTATTGGTTTCGAGACTTGATTCGCTCCGGTTCTATAGGTCAAGCGGCTTCTGCCCCACGCTTCCTACGGCCTGGAGGTAGCAGACTTGGGATTGTTCCATATCTTCTCAGACAATGATCACCTCTCCATATCTTGGGAAATTGATCACGACGTGGTATATGGAAACCGCGGTCTTGAAACAGTTTAGTAACAGGCGACCAAAGATGGAGTTGTAGGTGGGAGGCGAGTCAGCTATCGGGAAGTCCTCTGTCTCAGTGAACCGCTTCTCTCCTTCTCCTCAGGGTGAGTGAGTTAAACCCCGTCAAGGTTGATGACCATAGGGTGGTGAGTTGAACAACGTCAAGGTTGATGACCACAGGATGGCGAGGAGTAGACGACACTTAAAAGCGTCTAAGTCTTCTAATAGGCACATTTCAGATTCAAATATTTTATAACATGACATATATTACCAATTCCCGCATAAGTATTGTTTTGATTTACGCCAATAATGTATAATTCCCTCATAATTTTTATAGAACTTTTAATTCATCTATTATTGGCTATAAATTTATAAATGTATTTTTCTCTTAGGATCATGAGCCAAGAACAATCCGTGTGAGAATTATACAAGAAGTGGTCTTGCACATCTCTAAAGAGATGTTACATGACAATTATTATTAGCCACTAAAAATGAGACAGCTTAATTATATGGCGTAAATCATGAGCATAAAACAAAAGTTCAACTTTTTTTTTGTTTCAGAAATGAATTTTAAATGTGCTTCCTGGTATTAACTCTAATGATCGACTTAAAAGTATCTCCTTCAACTATTATATCGTGATAATATCTCATATGTTATTTTCACATTGCAATTTGAATCAATTGTTATTCCTATGATTTATGATCAAGTTGTATCAACTATTATTTCTCCATATATCCTACTTTGTTTTTCATTTAATAGTGCATTGTAGGTTGCGCATGCACTGAGAGTCAACAGGTGAATCGTAGAGTCCACGATTTATTATGTTAAAATTCTCTTTGGCACAACTCACCTCTAATTTTATATGATGTTAGGTATGCTTAATTTTCGTTTAAAATATAGATATTTAATGTTTTTTTAAAATAAATAAAAAGATAGTTAAAAAAAACTCTATTGCACAAAATATTGAAATTCCTTGAATGTTTTCATTAGTTAATTATTCACATCCAAAAAAAAATTGTATTTGTTGAATCTAAATTTGTGTGGGAGAACCCCCCTAACAAAAAGTGTGCGAAAGAAAAGAAAATGTCAGAGAAAGCACAACAATGAATAGTAAAATCTCGAAACCTTTCTTGATAAAATAAGCCTCTATTTATAGGAAAGAGGATCGTAAGATTACATTATGTACCCCAAGTAAAGTAGGTACAATATGGGGTATTTTTGTCAGTAAATAATTATATGGTTGAGAGTCTGAGATGACATTCGGCTGGATATTTGATCCTGAGCAGCTATGCGCAGAGAGTCTAAGAGAATGATCGGTTGAGTGGTGATTGTGTCTTCCGCATGACTATCTCGCTCGCCCCGGGTCAGTCGGCCAATTGCGGTTAGATGAGCTGTGGCTCACTAGTCGTTCAACTCGAGTCTTAAAGGTTTTGTGCCTAGCTTTGCCTGATAGATTCGCCGCCTTGGCCGGATCCCTTTATCTCGTAAGGTCTTGAGTGGATCTTATTGTTGCCTATGTGAGGTATTCAACGAAACTAGCTGCCAGGATGATCTATTCCTCTCTCTCAGTAGATCTCGCCATCACGTAGCGAGGAACCATTTCCAAAGCTCGAGTCTATTGCGAGCTTGGAGACGCGGTTTCTCATGCTCAACGCTAAATAGTCGGTTGGTTGCTTACCTCGAAAGAAAGCTCTTTTATTTCGGTCGTTCGTTCCCTTTGAGATTCGTGCCGACATTCCTGATTTTAGTTATCTTAGTTTTCATGCTTCTTGATAACAACAACTACAATAATGACATGAAAATTTATTAAATAATTGTCAGCATTAAAATAGTGAATTGATTGAACATTTAACTTCCCTTGGGCTTCTGTGCCTCATGTGCTCTATAAATGTGCGTGAACTAAGTCTTGTGTCATTTCTCGTTAGTTTCCCTTTTTATAGTTGAGGAGTGTTATGGATGACGGTTCGAACCAGATGATTGTGGATCCTCAGAGGCTGGCGAAGGCGGGTTTCAGGTGTATTCGTCCATAAAGAGGCAAAAAGTGGTGACAAAGGTAAAAAAGGGCATGAGTCGAGCCTAATTTGGTCAGCGTAGTCGACTCATCTGATGACAATGAAGATCAGTTGCTGAGGAGGCATTGCAAAGATGTTTTGGAGTCTAATCTGGTCTCGAATGTTGAGGGTTAGCTGATCTTTTAGGTCAAAGCGGGCAAAAAGGAGCAGAAAGGAGCGGTTGCTTAGATCCTTCCTCAGCCGCTGCCACAGGAAAGGGGGGCACCACGATGCAAGAGGGAGAGAGAGACTTTAAGACTGTCTCTTCCCTTGAAAGATTCATATACAAATTGCCCAGGTCGAAGGATCGCTAGGACGACGGGCGTCGAAAGATGTTGTGGAATCTTCTTCTGTCGCGGTGGTTGGTCCACAAATCGTAAATGTTGGGCTTCTGTCGTTGTCGACCCCGACAGTTCATTAGCTGTCTGACCCCTCGCCCGTGAGGTGACCGGTCGAGTGACGATTATGCCTTCCTAAGTGCATGTCGGTCGGTTGAGGCGCTCTACCGCATGACGATCTCACTCGCCCCGGGTCGATAGACCAATTGTAGTCGGTTGAGCCTTGGCTCATTTGCCATTCAACTATAGTTTTACAGGGCCCGTGTCTCGCATACTTGGTAGATTCATTGTCTCGACTGGATGTCCCTATCTGGCAAGGTCTTGGGTAGATATTGTAGCTGCCTTTTTAGACGAGACTCACCACCAAGAAAAATCTACATCTCACTCTTGGTGGTTCTCGCCACTACCGAGCGGGAAATCATATTCAGAGCTTGGGCC